TTTGTTATTTCATGTGGCTTCTTGTGTTTGAAACCATGTCCGCCCCATGCAACTTCCCTCCTCCAGGAAAACACCGTATCGACTTCTCTAATTCATCGTAGCTTACTTACACAGTATCACATCTTACAGAATAAAACTTGTTTTCCTCTGTTGGTAGTTATGCAGAAACTGGGATTTCAAGAGGGAAAAACAAACGTCCACGTGTGTGAAGAAGCAGGGAGGAAAATTTTAGACTGTACTTAAGAATAAATAACCCCCTCTATTCTTAAAAACACCATTAACTTGAGACCTTGATACCCCATCTAATGTTCTTCTATTACCCACACAGTAAATTAATGCCTTGAAGCTCATACTAATGGAAACATTTTTCATTTAGACTGGCAACTTTCTCATCCATGCATAGCTTATTCTAAGTCTCCGAGTTCATTTAGTTTCCCCCCAGAGCTACATTTATTAAAAGAATTATGCATACCAACCTGATCCTCCCTCTGCCAGGTACTTGTCCTTTGCATAGATAACAGAATCCAGCATTGACTCAAAGAGAAGGAAATAACCCTGTTCATAGAAAAGGGAAAGAATTGAGAGATCATTATGTTTCTTATGTAGCCTATTTAATCAACTTACAGGTAAGATTTTATCAACACAGTTTCAGCAACTTTTCATGTCCATACACCTCAAAAAGAGCCAGAACCCAGTGATTTTCTCCACAATAGCATTGTTGCTTCAAAGCTTTAGTTACATAAAGTACCATCTTTAATTTCCCAAACTGCAAGTATTAGCATCTACTAAATTAACAAACTATAGGCAATAAATATCCAATCTGCACCAACAGTTATCTGATAGATTCCTGCAACATCAAAAGAAATCAAATTCAACTCAAACCAAGTGAAAAGCCGTATATATTGATTTTATAGTAATAACTCTGAAGCACCATACACAAAGCGCCCCAAGAAAATCCCTTCCCACTCAGAACTGCAAGCAACATTAAAATTATTGTCAGAGAAATGCCAAGTAGAACGCATCTTTGCTATTTCATATTCACAACTTCATGGTGCCCTGTACTAGCTTGAGCAATGCTCACAAGGACAGGTGGAAATAAATCGTATACCAAACACAGGGGTCCTCTGAATGTTCCACGTCATTTAGCAGCACCTCAACTTAAAACACTCTCAGGACAAAAATGGTTAGAACTAGATTTGCGTAGGTTTTTTAGTGTTGGGATAAATTTTATAGCAGGTTAACAATAGTGCTATAGTTGTTTAGAATAACTTACTGTAAACTTAGAGTCAGTCTTTTTTTGAAGCAGAAAAACCTCATTTCTCAAATATAAAAAGACCCCATATAGCAGTATTTCATACAATAAGCATTTTATATATAACATCCGGTTTCTCAACTACTTTTAATTAACATAGGCAAATTTCTAAGAGATATATAGCCCTTCGTTTTCCACTTGATTTACTGATTTTACATGCTTCCTATCTTCCAAGTTTGAGTATGATCCTTTTTCTTGCTGAATACTATAACACAATTTTATCCACATACACATTCTTATGACATCAAATCATTTAAGACAAATCATACCCATGTACATTTTGGATTTTCACTTAGCATCCCAATTCCCATTTTACTTAAACCACAGCTTAGCCACATGGCTTGATTAATACACCGACTGCCAGTAGCAAAGAACAAAAAAAGACAACCACAAGTCCAGACTTTGGACCGGCAGACCTACCAGCCCAGTCAGCAGTAACCAAAGCAAAGCAAAGATTTTTTTCCTTCATCTTTCCTACACTTGCGTATTTGTATGATCATAGGGAATTTTTCATTTTATTTTGTTTTTGAAGTCATCATGCCGCACAACTGCAGATATACAGCATGGCACGGGAACTGCACTGCTATGATGCCAAGTTTACTTCCAAGTTTATGCCACCTTGAATGTTTATTTTGCCTAAGGCTCTTAGAACAAAAAATGCTGGAAGTTCAGAATTGCTTATAAACATCACCACCCGTACTGCAGCCTCCAGAACCAAACACAAAATTAGAAAACCAGAAACTTGAAGCATGACGTGTTTGTGTTCAACAACCGCATAGTCTGAAAATAATGGAAATGCCCTTTTCTCAACCTGCTTTTTCTGGTATCAGGACAGTGCTCTACTGGACACTTTTCTTCCAAATATTGCCTGTTCTTCCACTTTACTGCCTAACTTTTATGAAGTCCTTAGAATAAGTCCCAGAATGAAGACTACTGCTTTGTGAGCAATATGATTTTTGGTACGCTTTGCAAAATGGCTGAAAAGGCCAGGAGCTCCAGTTGCATCAAGCAGAGATGACTTTACGTCTACAGCAAGCCAAAAGCACAGAATGGAAACAGAGGTTTTGGGTTTTTTTATTATGATTCTTGCAGTTTTAAAAATAGAATGTGTTTAGTTCATAAAAATTCTTTTCAGATGCTTTTAATTGAAAATGAGTTGGTTTTGCAGTATTTTGAATGTGACCTCTAGGATGTGTCTTAAGACTAGTTACCAGCAAGGGTCAGTAAGTTGCAAAATGATGTTTTCACATATCCGTTCTTCACTTATTTTATCCTGCCTAAAATGCCCATCACCTACAATGTCTGCCAAACAAGCTCAAGTAGTACAGCTGGAAGACCCACCTTCTCATGAGAAATACAGAGACATTCTCACCGTCCTTTCCCCGACCTTTCCACTCTGGCACCATTGGTTTTACCCCCGCCCCAGTTCTATCTTTCCCCCATTCATTATAGTCTTCCTGTAAGTTACATAAACCGTCAATGGTACTGAATCAAGTCATTTATTACTTATACCAAAGCGTTTTGCTCAGTGTGCTGCGCTCATCTGTAGTGTAATTCAGAATGTAATTTCACAGGCTGCTGCCTCACCTGTAGGGGTGCCATCTGGAAAGAGAATTATACCTGACGTCCTTTCCCCATGATGCTGTGGGGCACTCTCACTTCCACCCCAATAATGTTCAGGGGTTTGTTTTTCCCTAAGCATGTATTAGTAAGCATGTATTATATTACTGCAAAGAGATCTCTAGGATACAATCTGTGAGCCAAATATTAATAATTCAATCTTGCCAGTGGCTAAACTACGACACATAAAAGGTGACAGGTTCTCTGTTAAAGACAAACTGAATACATAGCACATCTTAAATGCTATGCTGTCATATTATGCATTTTCTACTAAGAAGTTGACTGATTCTTTCTCAACATGCACATGAAGTTCCTTATTTTTATATTTTCAAAGCTGAAACGAAATGGTTGTTCTCCAGCAAATAATGTAACCTATGTATAAACAGATTTGAACAGGAACAGAAATACACAGTGCTATGGAGTTACTCTGTTCAAGCACACATACCACGTCAAGCCCATCCAAGAGATCAGCTATCAGAACTATACGAGCCCACTGACAAATCTGAATCCAAATTTGAGTATCGCTACATTTCTTATATATCCTTTATAGCTGTATTTTGTAACAGAATTATAAGAGGCTCACAAAACTTTGATGGCTTAATATCCTGCATTGTTAAATTTTCCTCTATTATTCTAATACACCTCAGCGCTCTAATATTTATTTTCATTTTAATTCAAAACTACATAAAATTGTTTTACCAATCAATCAAAATGTAAGCATAGAAAGGTCTTAACATTAGTGCTTCAGTATTCTTCATGATATTCTTCATGGAGAAAAAGAGATGAAGCTCTTTAAAAGCATCAAGACACAAGAGCAACACTGAATTCTGAAGTACACCTCATTGCGTGGAGAACACCAAAGCAAAACCTTTGTTTAAAACACAAATTGCTTCAAATTAAAAATGCCTCTTAATGTACACTTCCCTTAGCCATTCCTAGCAAATACCTTAGTGGAACTTGGTTTTGCCTTCTCTTACTTTCTACCTATTGGTGAAAGCCATATATTTTTCAAGAATCAGTATTAGCGCGTTCACAACAGCAAGGATTAGCAGAATTTTCAGTACAGCAGAAAAAACGATGTAAGGATAGAATTGAGAAGACATATTTAATTACTTGAATAAGTGTTGCATTTCCCCCCTGCCTTCTATCAAAGGGTGGTTTTTTTTTTTCGTTTTTTATCCATTTTATTATTTTCTGTAACGTAACTGAACCTGGTCTGGGACTCCAGACTCATTAAGGCCCAACACAGAATATTTAATGAGATGAAAGGCAGCTATCAAATCACTGGCCCAGAGACTGGACTTCCCCCCCCCCAATCCCTATTTGTATAAAGTGCATTATTTTCTTAAACTGTTTCTAACGACAAGGTTTTCATCAGACTACGGAATAAAACAAGTTACAGAGGGTATGTAAAACAGAGTGGACACTGGATTCTGATTTAGAACATGTAATCTTGCATTCACAGATGCACAAAACTGATGTAGCCCACTCAATTTTGTGAAAAATTACTTACTTGACAAAATCCCCCCAAAACTTGTGGCACATTTAAATGAGAAGCAGCAGCTACATGTAAACCCTTCTGCATGCTCTGCTGCAGCACCATTTCCCTCACACTAAGTCAGCCTTCAGGCTGATCTCTCATGTACGATTTAATTTTTAAAAGAAGGAAATAATTCATTACCGACAGAGCAAGCCCACACATATCAAAACCACAGCTTGACTTTGTTGCTATGCACACCCTGTCGTGTCCTTAAACAAATATAAGATGAGTGAGAACACCAAATGAGGAGATCTGAAGAGCAGATCTCAAGAGCGGAAAAGCAATACCCGTTATTTGTGTTGGCAAAAAAATTAAAATCTTTTCATGCAAGGAAGTAAAATTACTTTTTAAAAACCATTTTTCTGTAAAGAAATTAAAGGATTCAGCTACTTAGTACGTTCTTTCCACAGCATTATTAAAAACACAAAAAAGAAAAGCTCAATTCTTACATGAAATTACAAATTATTACTGTGTTATAGAAGTAGAACACTTGTATTAATGTCCCTCCAAATACTAACAGAAACAGTAGAGAATATTAAGACTACAGAAAGACTAGTAAGTGTTAAAAAAGCACCATCACTGTACATCCATCACAGAAATAGGGGAAAGAAGGAAGGAGAGAAAAGATGGTTTCCAGCATTTCAGACATGCTCACTTCCTAGTCCTTATCCCTAGATCCTGAATAGTTCCCATTCACAGCCCATCCTGCCATCACTGCAAAATTATCCAATAAAAAAAAAAAAAAAGAAAAAAGGATATTAGCTACCTGAGCATGATATAATTAAGAGACAAGAGTACTGGATTCTATCCTGTGTTTAATTTGAGAGTCCATCTCTTTCACAGTTTTTCCTTCTGTAAAGCTCTATTGCACATTCAGTATCATAAAGCACTGTGTAAAACAGCAATTTATAAGTACGCACTGTACTCTAGTGCTGTCTTTGAGACGACCATCTCAGACAATTGTCTCTCACAGTAAAGCTCCTTACAAACAAGAAATACGGGTATTTTTCAAATGAATAAAACTCTCAACCTCCAGCTTTATATTCTTAGCTAGAGAAAGGAAGTAAAAACATATCGAGAGAAAAAAAATCTGTACACAGATGCAGCTGGGTAAGAACATTCCAGAAAAACATTACATACATTTTGTTTCTTTCTGCCCTCGTCCTTTCAGTAAGCAGCCTATAAAGTTTACAATTACACTACCAAAATCCCTGTGCAGTAACACAGCCACCTTTGTATGTTTATAGCAGATCTTTTCCTGCCCAGCATTCAATTTAAGCAAAAACTGGCTTCAGCACATTCAAGTTCAAATTCTAAATTTCCGATGAAATTTGAGCATTTCCAAGCCACTCTCAGATCAAGTCACCAACAAGGGTTTGCATTCATTACACCAAGGTGCAAACAAATCACTGATGTGTGTTCAGAAATTCATTTGCATCAGATTGCCAAATACTCAACGATTCGCACCTTTGCTTAGAAACCTAATTCATGTAAGCCCACATTTTGAATAAGAAGGTAAGAGATTTGCTTGTAGCTGTCCTATGGGACAAGCAGACAAGTAAAAAAAAACATTAGAGACCGGTACCTGTAACCACTATCAATAATTCTTAGTTCCACAAACTAGGGTTTTCAAAAGTTTCACAGATCAGAACTCTAGGCAACCAAGCAGCATGGTGCACCAGAAGCTTATAGCCCTGCTACAGAGTAATAAACAAACCTGGACAGGGAAACCTCTCTAGAAACAAGGCCAGCAGTGAGATCTTCTATAAAATTCACCCATTCTTACATTCAAATAACCTTTCTCCAAGAACTGGAAGGCTTTCTCCTTGTAGAATCAGTTTGGTTAGCTAAACAGGCTATCACTTGGCCATTTTTAGGTGCTTTCTTAAGGCAACGTGGTTCACTGGGTAAAGCGGCTCTTTGGTCCATCTGCTCTGCTTTCTGCTCCTGACCCACAACACAGAAGAAGTCCTCCTGTCAGTCAGGCCGTGTACTTCACAAATGTTTTGCTAAAAGGAATCTACAGTTGTCTTCAGAGTGAAAAAGTCTAAATAGATGGCTTTATCTGGGTATTCAGTGGTCCAACAGGCCCCCAAATATTCAGCAATCTGCATTTTGGACACCAGCAGAACAGTTCGTCACACCTTCCATCATCCTTCTCAATGGTCTACATACTGGTTTTAGTCAAACACAATCACAGAGATGCCCTGCTTATGGTCTGATTTTAATAACGTCAAACACACACGCTTCAGGTGGCAGAAGTAATGCATTTAGTCTTTACATTAAAAGCAAGACCATTGCTAATTTCTTTCATGGGCTTAAATAAAGCCACTGAAGAGACAGGTGCTCATCATTCAGCCTCTAAACCCAGAACACGACAAAACCGTATCCAGATGAATTTAAAACTGAAAAAATATTATTTTGGAAGATTGCAAATACACGTTTGAAATATAATTTGGCTATATACACACACACAGTATCACACACCCCTACCCACTGTGTAATATTTAAGATGCTTCTCCCATTTTTGCATATTTTAAGGAAACAAATTTAAATATGAAAGAGAAGTAGGAACAGCAAGCAGTTTGTGGAAGTCATAGATCACTAACACAATTAAAAGAACGATCATCAGAAGCCATTATGTTGGAGAGTCTCGTAACACAACACTGTACCTTTTACAACACACTGTTGTGTGTGCCATCTTTCCCAGAAAGCCCGTTCTAAAAACATTCCTGCGGGGTGCAGTATTTTCCTTCTCTCCAGCCTCCTTTCTGTTGCTTCACACTTGGTTTTTTCATTTTCTAATGCTCCATGCACAGGTCTAAAAAAAGCTTATAGTGTACTGGTCTTAAGCACTGTTCTGTACCAAGCAAAACAAAGGTGTGGCTCCACAAAAAGATTTGATGTTTACTAGTCTAAAGAAGTTTATTTTCTGAACAGAACAGCAGCTTTTCATATTTTTGTTACAAAGAAAAAAAACTGTTCCCATTGGAATTTTCCTGCTAGTCCATACAGATTCTCTAAATAAAGACATATATTGACTTGCTTTTTGCTCTCACACTTCACATTTCCAACATTTTCAAGCACTGACATTCACATATTAACAAAAGATTTCACACTGGTCAGTATCATGTAGGGAAGGAACAGAAAAAGCAAATTCACACAGGGAAGCCAGACAAAGAGAAATCTTCATTTGCATCAAGGCAACATAATGTTCCTTTCTGGACAGTGCTGAACAGTGCATGCACTGTCCAGCTATCAATCTTACTTCCATGGCATTGTCCTCTTTATCTCTGTATTGCAGCAGCCTATAAAAATGCTAACACTCTGAAATATTTAGAATACCTAATTAAGTGAAATGCACATGGCTATATAATTATGACATTAAAAGGTAAATTAGCACACAAATGGGAAACACAGAACATTCAGTACTTCATTTCTTACAAGAGCTGCTTTTCAAAATCCTTTACTTCTCCTTAGAGGCACTGATTTTCAACACGACTTAAGCTCTTAAGTGCCCAAGTTGCTTTTAAAACCAAATCTTGAGCTCCAGAATGAGAAATGTGATTTTGTGAACATTATTCTTGGTGCACATACTGGGCTACGGAGCAGAAGTTTTCATGTAAGAACTACAATTACTTTTCTAGTGAAGCCACTATACTGTCAGAAATCACCAACCATAATGCACTATTTTTAAACTGCTAGCTTAAGCCAGCAGTGTAAACCTTCCTTGAAATTAGTGACCTCAGCATTAAATTCAGCTCATGCTTCAAATAACGTTCATTATTGCTGCAGAGGAAAAACTTTTACAGATTTCCAGCTCACTGAAATATGTAATATAAAAAAAAACAAACAGAAAAACCAAACAATGTATTTCCACCTTTACCTGGAAACTAGTTAGATACATATGGATTCGTAGTGAATGGTAGAATGTTTTGGGTTGGAAAGGACCCCTAGAGGTCATCTAGTCCAACCCCCCTGCAGTGAGCAGGGACACTGCTAACTAGATCAGGTTGCTCAGAGCCCCCTCCAACCTGTCCTTGAACATGTGACTTCTCTCCCAAAGGCCCTTGTATATAGAAGAACAGCCATTGTTTGGAGGAAAAAAAAAAACCAAAAACCCAACCCCCCAAAACCCACCCCTCACCCCCACCCAAAAAGCCCAAACAAGTAACTTTGAAAGTTTTTATTATTGGCCATAAATTTGAAGGACAAAAGAATACTTAAGACCAAACAGTGGGAACAACCATGAAAAAAAATAATTTTGAAGTGCTTTTTTTAAGGTCTGCAATATGAGGACACTGAATAGCACAAGTCCACCAAAAAAAGTCACAAGGGGTGTTTCCTACCCCATTTTTGATAGTGAACAGACTTACTCAGTTGTTATGATGTTCGGCCTGGCACTGGGTCTCATCACACAGATTTATTAGGATCAATGGCAGGTAGCAAGCACAACTGTGTAACAGCCATCAGCCAGCGCATGGAAGGAAGGTAACAGGCCAACGGCTGAAATCCTATGGATTCCAAGAAATGGCTCATTTACACCCTGCATATTGCATTTCCCATTGGCCATCATCTTCCTTACGTTCTTTTAAGATCAAGTTATTTTATTCTTGTACCAAGAGAATGAAATTGATAGTAATGCTGCTTTCAAGCTTTCTATGTATTTGCAGACTTCCCAGTGTGTATGCTCCTCACCTCCTTACCACCTTTCCTGCACAGTCAGCATCATCTTAGCTGTCTTTGCGAACTAAAGGTATTTGACTCATCAGAATGATCTAACTAGATGACTAAAACAATATTTCTCCATTGCTTTCACCTGATCAGCTACAATACTATTATTCAGGAATACAGAATACTTCTGTATATTTGCACACTAACTACAAAACAGAAACGTAGCGCTGTATCCAAACCAGCTCAGCTGTACTTAGAGAATCTTGACTTGAAAGTGCGTGAACAAGACGGATCAGGAATTGTATCGCAGTATGACATAATCAGAAACATCATCCCATCTCCCACGTTGTCAAAGACACTGTTGCAAGTGTGATGTCTTTTGGTTAAAAAACCTAGCATCGCTTTAAGAATTTTCAAATTAAATATAATGACACATTTTTTCCCCAAAAATAACTGTCTTGAAAAGAATATTCATGCGCCTTACCATCCACTCAGATATAATTACATCCACTTTTTCCAAAGGCAGAGCTACTTCTTCGATTCTTCCTTTGACTAATGTAATGATATTTTCAAGTTTATTTAATCTGCAAGTCACAACATAAACAGATTAGTTTATATTTCCCATTTATTTTGTCCAGAGAGATATACTGATTGTCTACATTTTGCATTTCTCCCCCAATAACAACTGTGGGGTTTTTTAACTTCTCAAAAACACACTAAAATGTACTATTTGTCTTCTCAGTTATATTTCAGAGGGAATGTTTCCGACTATCCAAAAACCCCAGCAGATTTAAGTACCAGGCAAAGATGGCAGACAGTAGATCTGTACACCTCCAACGTGCTGCGCATGCAAATGTTTAAGCTTCAGAAACCAGGAAGACAGAGAAGAGGACAATTTAAAATGAGGCTCCTCTTTACGTAGAGTTGCTTGTTGCCAGTTCTCCTTCTCTGACCCCTGTAGCATAAGTCTATAGTGATTAGAGCCTACTCATCACACTAGGACAGCAATGGAAATTAGCTTCCTTACAAAGCTGTTTTGCACGACTTGGTTTTTTATTTAACAAAACTAGCTGCAAAGTCACTGAGAACAAACACTCCCTCTAGATCAGTATTACAGTTATTCCACACTAAAGGCCTCCTCCCCACTGTGATTTTGGCCCAAAGCATCTGCAATGTTTAGTAACTGCAGTAACCAGGTATTACCTCATATGCAAGTAATGGTAAAACTACCCTGTGTAAGGAGGAAGACATGTGATGTGACTACTGTTTTTGAAACTAAAACTGCATGACAGTGAAATTAGTAATTTCAATTTTTAACACGTAAATGCTTTAAATTTAGTATTTTTCTTCTTGGCAAACCGTATTAGTCTGTCTTGTACATATCATTCTTACAGTAGCTATTATTATAGAGGAGAGAAAAGTGTTCCCACCAAAGAAATTTATCTTTCCACTGCAGTTCTTATCTCTGTGCCCTCCTTCCCTGATATCTTACTCTTACATTCTGCCTGGCTTTCAATGCAGACTAGTAATCACATTAAAAATTCAATCTAAAAGACAATGGGAGAACGATCAGAATGAAGGGAGGGAAAAGAAAGGGTCAAAGGGCTACTTGAACATGTGGGCTGTTGGAAAGATCAATTAAATAGTCTGCACATGACAGTCTTTCTGTTAGAAGAGTAGCAGTTCATCACTAATATCACACTTAATGCTGTAAACAGAAGTAAAACCAGAAGTTCAAACTGAGAAATAAAACGCTAAAGAGCTATCACCCACATCAGTGTTTTCAGAAGGACAAAAAGAGATCTAAGGATAACTTCCTAAATGACCATGTGCAAGGACATGATTTAAAACAGGAGAGGGGAAAAAGATTAATTCATTACATACTCGTTTTCACTTGTAAGGTATAAAAATACCCAAATGAACCAATGTAGTTTACACCTTGTAGAAAAAACGGCTGAGATGCTGCTGAGGAAGTATACTTCAACTTTCTATTTGAGCATAACAGTGGTGAATGACAAAAATCAAGTCATTCACCACATAAAGAAAATTTATGGGCATTCATTCACAGTAACAAAAAGAGAAGGCAAGCATTTAGTTAAAATTAAGTTACTATGTAACCTTGGGAAAGAATCATGCCACTCCAGGCACTTATTCCAACTCAGTTACCCACATGGGTTGCAGTGTTTCTAGTAATGAGCACACTAGAAACGAACCTGAACTCTGTGAGGGGCAAAAGCTCTTGAGCGCATACCTGAATCACTGGTGGAAGCACACTGCTGCAGTCATTTTTAAGCTACACAGATTCCTTTAGTATTCCAATAAATATTTCTTACTCCATTACAAGTTCATCAGCTTCATTATTTTAGGAAAAGTAGGTTTAACATGACAAATACAAATTGTTTTGATGTGAACTGAAGACTTTAATGTGAATTGAACCTTTTATAGCAGAAGGTACCTATAAATGTGCAGCCTTACTGATGGTTCACTGGGTACTTCAAGTGGCAATTCATCACTCTTAAGAGTTTTGATTTGTTATTTTTCTTTAAGGCCTGCCCTTCTCACCAAAGGTAATACGTGTTGGCTGATATTTCTATCCTCCTCTAAGTACGAATAACACATAAGACATTTTGTGCACTTGTTGAAAGAGATGAACAATCCTAAGTTTGTCATCTAGTACATTAGAAATAAAACACTATTTCAAATTTGTAACCATTCTCAAGATGTCAAGGACTCATGGGAAAAGTTGTCTTTAGAAAATGAGTTTTTGAGCCATAAAAGCATTTTAGTCAAAGATGCACCTAATGCTTAACATGGTACTTTTCTTAAACAGGCACTTTAATAGACTAATTTTACAGCTTCCAAGCTTGCAGTGTTGCATTGCCAATGTGTGCAGTGATATCTAACCTAAAAATCCTGCCTAGACAACCTTATTTCTGTACTTATTTCTGCCTTCAGATGCCATGGCTTCATTTTTACATATACTCAGTCTCCCTCAATTATCCTTTCATAGCTAAATTAGTGAAATGTGGAATGGCTAAATGAACCATCAGATGGGTGGAAAGCTGTCTAGACCATGAGGTTCAATAGGAGTATAAAGTCTAACCAGTAGCCAGGTACCAGAGGTGTCCCTCAGGGTTCAATGCTAGTTCTGAAACTAATTAACACCTTTATTAGTGACCTAACAGTCACCTAGTGGACCCTCAACAAGTCTGTGGATAATGCGACTCAGGAGGGAGCAATTTATATGCTAGAGGGTAGGGCTGCTATTTAGAGGGACCTCAGACCGTAGATATGGGCTGATGGAAATCTCAGAGATCCAGCAAAGGTGAAGACCTGTACCTTGGCTGGAATAGTCCCATTAAACAGTACGGATTGGTTCCTGCTGGTCAGAAATCAGCTCTGTTTCATGTTCCTCATCCTGCCCCGACAAGAGGCCTGGCGAACAAGTTGAACATAAGTCAGCAGTGGGCCCTTGTAGCAACAGCGGCCATCTACTGTGTCATATATGCAAGAGGGTAGCAGCAGGTCAAGGAAAGCGATCTTTCCCCTCAATTTGACACCTACAAAACTGCATCTGGAGTACAGTGTCCAGTTGTGGGCTCCCCAGTACAAGAAAGACATTGACATACCAGAGCAAGTCCCGTGAAGGGGCCATCAAGATGATGAGGGGCTGAAGCACACAACATAGTGGGAGAAGCGGAGAGAACCGTGTTTGTTCAGCCTTAAGAAGGGATGGTTAAGGGATGGGTTTCTGATGTCTGCCTCTGTCTAGCAGAAGGGTGAAGAGAAGACAAAGCCAAGCTCTTCTCTTGAATCATAGGGACTGGATGACAGGCAACAGACACAAACTGAAACAACTCAAGTTACAATTTGGTATATCAAAAGTAAGAGTGAGGCTAGTCAAACAACACATGTTTTCCAGAAAAGTTCAGACAGAAGTGGCAATGTTCAGCACTTGATTAGCCAAGGCCTGAGCCTGCTCTGACAGAGGGGGACCGGACCAGTGGTACTCCCCACACATCCCTGGGGTCCCATCCACCCTGTACTATTCCATGGCATGCAACATCTTTGTAGTTCTCCTAGAAACAACTTTTCTTACTGACTCTGCAGACTGTGCATGTGTCTGTGTGCATTCTCTTAAAATGGGTTTGGTTTTGGTTTGGTTTGCTTCCCCCACCAAACTATAGAAAATACTACAGTGCAATGGTAATCACTTTCCAACCAGCATGGAAACCAGAGGTCAGTAAGTTTCTAAAGGAACAAATCACAGGGTAATCAACATTTACTATTCTCACAGACAGTCCCTTAAATATACCAATGTAGAGAGAACCTTACTAGGGAAAGGTTTTCCACAAGTTAGTACTCAAATACCATGTAATTATAAAATCTATTTGCCAAAGAAAGCTTCATTACATGTCTCCTTCTCATGTGCTAAAATTGTTAAAAATTACCTAATGCATGACAAGCTTTTGTTTAAAAAACAGTTCCAACATGATCTAAAATATATATACATTTAGACAAAGAGAATAAAAGTTGTTTAATTTTCAACAAAATAGAAAAATAATTTTTCTACCACATGCCTATATTTCTATGGTTCTAATTTCTATAATTCTATAAAAGTAATTTTCTATAAAATGAAATCATATCATTATTTAAAATTCCTATGTAGAAGTAGAAAATTAAACAACTATATAGACACACATAAACAACTTTTACTGTGTTGATCTAAATCAGAACCATTTCTTTAACTGAAAGTAGTGCACTCAGGCAAAATTTCTCACATCCTGTTGGAACATGTCTCAACTCTAATGCTTGTTGTCTAAAAACTTACTATTTTATAAGTAGCAATGTTTAAAGTGTAAGAATGGAAAATAGCCTGGCAACAGTCAGTTGGAGCCTCTGCAGCAAGCCGCACTGGCCCTATGCTAACATTAGGAGGAAGGTCTGGGAAACATCCTGCCTTAACTACATCCCTGTTTTAATTACCCCTACCAGAGGGGCAAACAACTTTACTGCACATCAAAACCTGTCTTAATTCTTAGGACAACGGAAGACTTCAATAAAACACATACCAAGTGCTAGGTGATCATTAAGTAGCAATAGCATTTCAATAATTTTTTACGGCAATATTTACCATACTTTTCTTGGAATGTTTCTTACCTAATGATGTCCATGGCCTGATAGACTATTTCAGACTGATCGACTCCAATCACTTTCTTTGCACCTGCTTTGGCAGCAAACATAGAGAGTATTCCAGTTCCACAGCCAACATCCAAAACCACCTGAAACGAACAAATGGAGGTAAAAAGAAACATCTTATTTCCCTTGCTATGATTTTTCTACACGACTTTCCGCATCAGTGAGAGACCATATTCTAACAGAAGGAACAAATGGTACCATCAAGTCCTACTATTACATTCAGAGATATCAGAGTCAAACTGCAGTTCTAACTCCACACTCTCTACTACCTTTTACAGATTGACAACGAAGCAGACTAGCTCCAGTGGCAGATTAACCCAGGCACATGGGAAACAAATCACAAGCAATTATTTGGGCAACTAAAAAGTTACATGAACAGGAGAAAAAGGAAATTATGGTCTGAGCAATTTTAATCAGTGAATCACTAACAACTGAATTTAGCACTGGCACTAAAAAAAACTAATGAGAAACTGCAGTTTCTCATTAAGGTCTATTCAGAAACTTTATTTAGGAGTCTTCTGGTAGAAATACCCACAGTGCCTTGAAACAGCTATGGCTCAAGATGACTAAATTTCAAAATGGTAACTGGCACAGTTTTAACACCAGGAAGTATTTTCTTTCTAACACTATTTATAATCAAAACAGGACCAAAAAAATCCAGTAAGATGGGATCCCTAAGTTTTCACAAAAGAAGAATAAACTTCATGACTACACACAAAAACACTACACTCAACGTAGCAATAAGACTCATGCAAATGCTTGTTTTTAGATCTCATGTTAGCTATGGTAGGAAGATACTGAAAAGTTTAAAAATGTGAAGTGACTAAGAAAATAGTACCAAATATATTAATAAAGTAAAGTTGAGCTGCCAGCAGTGTTGAACTTCATGAAGCCGAGAGATTCTACCAAGTAGCCCTGTTCACGCCTCAATGTCAACCTGTGCTGCTGTTCAATTGCCCTCACAGTAAAAAAAAAAAAAAAAGTGTTTCCTGTTTTTTAAAGGCAACTGCCTG